AATCTTGTGAAAAAGTGATAATGTAAAATCTTCAGCCTGGAAGATGTTTAGACTCCACAAAACAGTATCAAAAATACTTTAAATTTCATGTTTTCCATGATTAAACTTAGATGAATGCATCTTATATTTTAGTGTCTTTCAACAGAATTCTCTGGGATGATGGATATCTTATCTGTCTGCTCTGTCCAATACAGCAGCTCCCAGCTACTCAGTGATTAGGCATACAAACATAAACAGTGTAATAAAGGAATTGAATGTCTAATTTTATTTTATTTTTATCAATATAAATTTAACTTTAGCGTGTTGGAGAAATGGATCTGTTGTTAAGAGCACTGATTGCTCTTCCAGAGGACCCAAGTTCAATTTCCATCACCTACATGGCTACTGACAACTGCCTGTAATTCCAAGATTTGACACCCTCACACAGACATACATTCAAGGCAAAACACCTAAGCACATAAAATAAAAATAAATTATTTTGAAAAAATTAACTTTATATATCATATTGGACAGCACGATTATATATACTATATTCATAAATATATGAACACATATGTTATAATATTAAATTACTGTGTTTAATAATAGACATTGTCACATATAAGTCATATTTCTTTAAAACAGAAAGAACTTATCTTCTGGAACAGATGACTGGTTAAATGAAAGGGCACCCAATGGGAAAACAGGTGAGTGTAGCAGCTGAGCAAACAAAACTAGAGATTTTAGAAAAAAAATACAAATTAAATGCCTGACTTCCAATGCAAAAAGTTCACTACTAATAATTTCTTTTTAATATTAATATGGAAGGCAAAAATTGATGAATTTCTCTTCATTTCCATGGTAGGTGGATATAGGAGACCCAATATTTATTCAGTGGGAACTGCAGGCAGAGAAAACAGGGAGTATATAATTAGGTGATTAATTACAGGTGAAGAAAATTAACATTTTCTTTACTGGTGAGAAAGACATTATTGAATGAAAGGGTTCATAGCTCACATTAAGAAACACCCTTCACATCCAAGGAGGTTCTTTTATAATGGAAGAACTGAATAACAGAAGAACTGTAGTCCAGACATCAAAGTAAGAGATAACAGCTGCCCAAGGTGCTAAAAATTCTAAATACTCCTGTAGGACTTGTTTATGGGAACTAGGGACTGATAACTATTAGCCTCAATCACAGGCCAACAAAATATCAAACATAACAAAGGTGGGAAGGTACAACCTTGCCTTCTGCAAGCCTAGATAAAATTTTTGAAACTATCAAATCTGAACAGCAGTGACAGCTGAATATTATCCTGTGACTAAGTGATCATTTGCAATTCTCTGGGCTTTTTCTTTGGTAAATAATAATAACTAGGCTTCACTGGAATTGCATTGGAATATTTTTAATTGAAAGTAATTCAAGGATTATTTAAAATTCTGGGTAGGCTTATTACTTAACACATCTCCAGCACTCCATGTCCAGTACAGATATAAATAGTCACAAACACATTCTTTTCTACTGAGCCTTAGGAGGAGAAAAAGATTAAAAGGGGTTTTAGATTATTTCAAAAAGAGTGCATCTACAGAGGCTCTTATTAGACACAACTGTAAAATGTATTCGAATGAGGAAATTTTGAGGAAAGAAAGCTAGGTAGCTAAGTAACAGTAGACAAGCAGAGAAACACACACACACACACACACACACACACACACACACACAC